TCTTCAGATGCAGCACGGTCTACATTGCATGTCAAGATGCCACTACAAAGCGTTCTAGGCAGCAAGTTGTGGATTTTGAGCCACATGCACACCACTACGAGTCGACCCAACAAGCCATGTCTACCGACTCTGGCAACAACAATTTTCTGTATGCTATTGTCCATTCACTAGAGGGAAAGCGTCGACGACAGCGCGCACTTGCGAGCGCGTCTCCGGCTCGCCAGATAGACCACACCACCGCTTCTCGTCACCTGCGCTCGGCATGCATCGCATCCTGTGTCTCCTTCTGCTCCTCGTCGGCCAAACACCATCCGCGTCTTCGCAACACAATCCGGTGCGTCCGGTTCGTCGCCGCCGCCGGGCCATTCGTGCCTGCGACAATGCCTTGGGTCACTTGGAGATTGCCCGCGTAGTAGACTTGCCATAGCTGCACGAAGGCTAAACTGCAGACCACGGGCAACGAGCCAAACACATTCGCCGTAAAGGTGGCAGCAGTATGGTCCCAGCCGCTGGACTCGGGAACACGCTTCTTGACCATGGGGTACAACTGGCTCATGACGAAAATGCCACAGAACATGGCAGACACGTAGTTCCACGGATTCGCCGCGATCACGTACTCAACGAAACGAATGAGTGCAACGAGCTGACTGAACAGCAGCGTGAAGGAGAAAAGCACGTCCGTGATATCTATCCACGACGTCTTCTGACCAGCACCCGTGTTTGCCCTTGACTTGTCCTTCCCCGCCACGCGCGCCTGGAGGGCCTCAAAATTGTCATCATCGTAATGAACGACAACGAAAGCCATGCCTGCTGCATACGCCACACGTTGTTGTTGACGACTGCGCGGTTGACCGGCAGGTTCAGCACCCAACGGCAGAACGTCACGACCAAGAAAGAGTACAGGATCTTCGTTCCACGAGCGTAGATCGGCGCGTCAAACGTGCACAAGCAGTAGATGGCGATCGCCACGTAACGCAGGGCAGTAATCGAACCAAAAACGGGCACAGCACCGAGTCGTAGAAAACATCTTGCGCGGGAGCACAAGGGACGGCTTCGGGTCCGGGGCAGGCACGCGCGGCGGACGCCAGTCCGGGTCGACTTCGCGCTCATTTTGCATCAGCAGAATCTGCACAGCACCCTTCGCCCAACGCTTCTTTTGGCCCATAGCAGCAGCCACTGTTTCAGGAACAGCACCTCCGCAAAATCGAATACGGCCCTTGGCATCGCCCTCGAAATCCTTGCGGAAGTACACCGAGTCCCAACCAGAAGTGTAGAGCACGTTGCCCGTAAACGCATCTGCAGCTTGAGTACCGTACTGAATACCACCAATCGAGTCGAAGGCTTGGCGACAGAACACAGCATTCGAGCCGGCAAAAGCTGCCGAGTCGAAACCATCACGGCCACGCTGCACAGCGCCAACGAGAATGGCGTTCTTGTGCCCGCACCGGTCACCCATGATCGTCAACTGAACTGGTCCTCAAAGTACTGAGGAGTCTACAGAAGTCTGCCCGTACGACACGTGGGTCCACGAAATATCGTCGCTGCACTGAAGACCTCCACCGTCGGCAGCCTCGCCTTCCTAGAAGAAGAACGACAGCACCGCGAGCAAAAAGCTTCGGATACGGCTTCTTGTCGTTATCCAGAATCAGCACATACGTGCCGTCAGCACCTTCGTTGAACAAGCAATTGGTCATGTTTTCGAGCCTTGAGTGGGGCGTATCGGGCATCATTCGTCCAATGAAAGTCACACGCAGAATACCGCGCTCACGGAAGTCGAAGTCGTCCGAAAGCGAGCCGACAGAACAATCACGACGCTGCGCACCCTTTCCACCCTCTTTGAGGAGTTCACGGACAGAGCTGTGCTGGCGACGCCACGTCCCCAAGCTTTGGTCGTCTTGCACAGGCCCACCACACGCTCGTGCATGAGCCGCGCAAGGTCGCCACGCAAATCACCACAAATCGAACCACATTGGCGTTCATCGTCACCTTCAAGTGGTCGATCGCAACCCACACAGACTTATAGTAACCAACATCCAGCACAGAGATGTCGAGGAGCTCGGGCGCATACTGCAGCGAAAGATAGTTCTTCAGTGTCTGCATCGAATACGCGACCGGATCCACGTAGACACACAACAAGATGTCGACCATCGGCCACTGTTCCCCGGGAGTGGGCAGCTCGAAGTCGTCCATGTACCGCGCACCACGACAAATCGAACGCCACATACTGAAGTTGAACAGCAGCGCCACAACGAAACTGAGAAACTCGCTGAAAATCATCATGACGTACATGACCCACGACATAAACGGCACGTTCCCGATACAGTATCCATCGCCCGCGTCTGCGTCAACGTTGACCGTCGAGCTGAAACACCCGTCCGTCTCACTAGCTGGCAACGTGTGTGTTACACGATAGCGTCGACCGCGCGTGGTCCCAAGGTACTGCTGCGCGTACACCGTCGTCAAGTAGTACAGCCAGATAACACCCGCAGCCGCCGTGCCAAAGTGAAACACGTGGAACATGCACTGCCCGATACTCGTACTTGCGGGTGGATATACGGTGTCTAGTGGCGCGACTCCACCCGCCACGCGCGACTCGTTGTCTCCAGGAAGTATCCAACCCCAACCGCCGGACAAGGGGGACAACGATGCTGCGGGTGTCGTACGAAGGTGTCGACGTCGAGCTCCCCTCGAACGTGGCTACCATCGAGTCCGACGTGACGGCGGGGACGCTCACGATCCACTGCTGCAACTTCACGGGGGACGTCGTGTTGCGCCAACGTACGTACCGTCTGTGAGGATCGTGTGTGGGTGGGTGTGTACCGGCCGCGCGCGGGACCGACTCGACCGCTTCTGTCTTTTTCGTCCACTCATGGGTACATGTGTGTGTGACATGTGGCAGGCACCGCAGCTTCAAGTCGCGCATAGCCGCCGCCGCAGCAGCAGACAGGCGCTTGTTCTCAGCAGCAAACGGAACGACCGAACGACGCGAGTGGTCCGAGGGATTACGATCGCGTGTCTCAAGCGGACGGTAAACGGCTGCGGCCGAGTTTCCTCAATGAAGCAGAGCAGACGGTACTGTTGGATCAATTGAATGGACCGTCGAAGGAGCAAACCGCACCGGCAGACGATGTTTTGGTGCTACTGGAGAGAGCTGAAGAATGGACCAGAAGAAGGACTGGAGGCAGCTGGGGGCACGACCGGTAGTGATGCGTGGCGACGGAGAAGACGACGGAGAAGAAGCAGACACAAAGGTCACTGACGGACAGTGTGGTGGATCGCTTGTCGGCGTCACGTGATCTGAAGCAGTCGAGCGCTCGCAAAGCAGCACGTGCTTCCAGCACAGATCGACACAATAAGCGCGAGGTGCAACCTGAACCTTCGCCGAGCAAATGCGTCGAGGAACGGGTCAGAGGCGTGTCAATGTCAAAGGCAGCAGCAGGTCTGACGGACCGTGTGTTTGTTTGTTGTTTGTTTGTTGTTAGGTAAAGGAGAACGCAATGCGAGTGTTCTTGGTGTAGTCTTGCAAGTTAGTCGTGACTGCGTGTGGCTGAGGACACAGCGTGGGAGACGATCGAGTTGATAGGAAACGCCCCGACTGAGCGCTGGGGCCATACTGCTACCAAGATCTCGAACGACCGCGTGGTGGCCTACGGTGGAATCGATGACGAGGAGCGAACACTAGGGGACTTGCACGTGTTTGACATGCAAACACACCGCTGGACGACTCCAATCAACTGCGAAACGATCCCGCGAACGTGGCACGACGCCGTGCACCTGCCTCTCAAGAATGTAGTGCTGTGTTTGGGGGCGAGCGCACGGAAAGCGGTGATGGTGAGCTTGCCGTTCTTTCCGACGTTATGGTACTGGACACCGAGTGTTTCCTGTGGTTTCCACCGGCCATTCGTGGGCCACCTTCGTCACCACAGAGAGTGGTGTGAAATGTAAAATCATTACATAAATCCGTCGTAACGTTTCAGGCGTAGATTGACTATGAGTTCCACCAAGTTACTGTTGCGGAGCTAAACGATTCCTTCAGTTATAGGAAGACTCAACACTTTACGAGCAACTTTGGTTTGAATAACCCGGCTCAGAGAGTCAACAAGCGCAGAGAACTTACGGTCCCTGTTCCAAGAGACCAAACGATTTAGAAATTACAGCACAAAGTGCTCGGAGAGTAGCTGCCTAAGCAAGGCGTATGTTAGACTCTTAACGATCTCAAAAACACGTGTCTTTAAGAGATCCAAAGGGGAACTGAACTATATTTCTTCTTTTATCGAATAACGAACGTACTTTATCTAAACGCTAATGTTCTAATTAACATCTCATAAAAGATCAAGTATTTCGGTGGCTGACACACGTCAGCCCCAACAACTGATTTGGTGTTCAAATTTCATTTTTAATGGGACTCCGTCCCTTTTGTAATTCACACACGTTGCGTAACCCCGTTACAGCAAGTGTCCTTCATTCTCCACATCATCTGGTACCGCCAACGCTTTGATAATATACGTGATAAACGCATCGTCACTACCACCAGATCCAAGAGACAGACGTGTGAACACGAGCAAGGCGATAATGAAAGAAGGTGAGGGATAAACTAGGCGCAACTAAAATGTTGTGTCATCATCTGGTCAAGCTGCTGCGCCACATCGCAGTCGTCAATAAATGTAAATAACCATTTTCTTTCTCCCAGCTGTTCGATGTTGAAAAGGAGTTTCGCTGTAAGTACGGGCGCGCAGGAAGCGCGTCGGACGGCGATGGTGGTTGCCGCAGATGACATTCTGTTCGTAAGGTAAGTTCATTGTCCGACACGATAATTAACATTTGGTAATCGAGTGGACAGGATAGACCACACGAAAAAAATAGGTAGAGGTATAAACAAGAGAATTCATAGAATCCTTTTACCACACTGCTCAGTACTACCTTCCTTCGTCTAGCTACATTGCGAGCAAACATTCGAGTTGTACCATAGCGATGCTAGTCACAACCCTGAGGCTGCGCATTATGTGCGTCATTAGTTGTAAAACAAGAGTCTTGAGCACTTTATCTCTTACAACCGCGCTCGACAAGACCAGAAGGCGCACTCAACTCGCTCTTCACTAACAGTTTAAGAAACTCTTTAAAGTTCGACGGCATGATCGCATCTTCATTCGCGCTTCTCACGTGGTTATGTTGTGGCCAATGCGACAGCACTTTAATCCTCCATTTTTATGCTCATAATCTCTGCGCAGTGTAAATTCGTTGTGCAATGGTAAAGTCCAAAGTCAACGAGAGTTGTACATGCACGTGAAGTGCCAGTTTTAGCATCGGCATGACTATCTGCTCTCGAGTTGTCCTCAAATCGACACACCTTCTTTACTTTCCCGTCCCTACCGAAGGTCTTCATATCCAGCGTCTCGGCTAGAACGCGCGTACAGTCATAACTAAGTGAGAGATGCCACAGATAATTGGTTCGAAAAACACGTTGGTGGTATTATGGCATCCACTATGTCCATAAATAATAACTACTACGTCCACCTTTTTGCCGACAAACACGAGCAGCACCATAAGCGTGACGAAGGAATTAAAATAGGATGTCGGCGGATACAGTGCGCGTTAATTCTGCCTGTGCCTATATCAATTTTACGCGGCGTTATGACCGCGTCAGAAGATATCGGCGTCTGCGATAATTGAATACTGATGCAAAACCTTTGCAGGACGACACGATATAGGGCGACAGAAATAGCTTGTCTACCAAAAAGCTTGACGAAGATTTTAGTGCACATGGCACACGTCCATCGTTTGTCGTTCATGCATGTGACGTCACGACCACGAGCCTTGCGTACAGGGCTGCTTGCGACCTCGCCGTCGGTCTTTGGCAAGTAGTGTCCTGAACGCAGACCCTTTTCAGAGTTCACGTTTCTAAGTCGCGTCTACGCCTAATACACCTGGTCACAAGTATCTCACTACAAAAAGTTGCGATCGCACAGCGAACTGTACTTGTAGGTGTTGCGCTTCGTCCCTATACATTGTCTTTGTTGTCGCTACTCTTTGTTTTTTTCGTTATTCGATCCGTCGATTCTATTTAACCCTACGGAGGTGCAAGCCAGATTCTCTCTTATTCAGCCGGGCGTGCGGCGCCTTGGCGCGTTTGCACGGCGGACCGGACAACAGCATAGATATATGCGACACCGATCCAACATCATGTTTTTTTTACTTTACATACAGCGTTGGAAGCGGGAGTAACCGAAACTAAACGATTGTAAGACATCTCCGGTGTGGCAAGCTCCCACAGACGCCGATACCGGCATTAAAGTCAAACACGTAGCTTCCTGTTCTTTACATCCAGTCGACGGTCGCATTTGTCGCGGTCGAAATGCAAGTTTAAAGGGTTAATTCATGAAATGTATAGGTACCCACTCACCCTTTGATACGTACAAACACCCATGAAATAGAGGCCCCATTGAAGTACTGTAGCCACCCCAACTAGGTACTGCAAACCCTTTCATTCAAAAGGCCATATAAATATTCTTTGTTTTGTACACACCCCTGCGTAATACAGGCCTCATTTGTGTCAACACAAAGCCTTGTGTATAAAATCCGTTTACATTATCCAATATACCCCGTATCAGTACCTCTTACACTAACATTTCCCATACTTTATTATTTTTTTTATTGCTGGTCATCCACCCCGTAATAAGTCAAATGTTCTGTGAACTTCGGGCTGATTAGAATGATAACGTTCGGATTTTCGATTGATCCCCACTGCGCTATGGTCTTTTTATCCCAATCGCGCACAAATAAATGTGCGAGTCATTTGTCATACAACAATGCTCGTCCATAATTGCCTTTCCGTCTCGTGTCGCGCAGCAATGGACCCCTACACCGCAATGAATAACCCACTAAACCATCAGCAGCAGCAATTGAGTCAACAGACACCCCCAAAGAAACACTACTCAGACGCTCGTCAATGGCTAACCGTCGTATAAACAGCGTCGAAATACAACGACGCAATTTGTGTGCGGTGACAATCGTCTTACCCAACGAGCTCACGAAATCGTCGACGAACGAGCGCTCGTTCAATGCAAATGAATCTGATCATAAATGCTATTCTTGCGATATTACTGCGCTACTGCATTGTCGAAGATCGACTGCAGTAATCCGAGCACATGAGCAGATCAAAGGTACATTTCAAATCCACAAAAAATAATTAAACTACACTGTCCAGAAATCGGTGTTTAAACGGACAAAAGTACTTTAATGTGTATATGTGGCAACTTCTCACCTGGTATAGTCGCGGTATTTGGTCATCAGAACGATCGAGCGACATCCATTAACTATAGACCAAGCATTTGCAAGGGGAGTGACAGAGAAGTTACAGCTGCTGCGTTGTCGTCCGTGCGCAAACGCTGCTCCGCTCAGAAACGAAACGGTCTCATGCCGTCGCTAAGGCGGTTACTTAGCACTACGAGGAGCTCGTGCAGCACCCCAACGAGACAGATGGAGGATACGACAATGAGAAGAGCAATGCGCAGGTCACATGCTTCGCCATTAAACTTGTCGCCGCGGGAGCTCACGCGGTCGTACGAATGTATTGCTGCTCGTGTCTCACTCGTTATTGACGTTTTTCTAGACGCTGTTATGAATAAGAGAAACGATAGCGTTATGGGTACTGATACGGGGTATATTGGATAATGTAAACGGTTTTATACACAAGGCTGTGTGTTGACACAAAGGAGGCCTGTATTACGCTGGGGTGTGTACAAAACGAAGAATATTTATATGGCATTTTGAATGATAGGATTTGCAGTACCTAGTTGGGGTGGCTACAGTACTTCAATGGGTCTCTATTTAAAGGATCTTTGTAAGTATCAAAGGGTGAGTAGGTACTTATAAATATCATAAAATTAATTGGACGGAAAATATGATGACGATGTATTGTCATAATTGCTCTAATTTATTATCATACACATAAAATAAACCTCCTGATAAAATGAATTTATAGTTTAAAAATACTTGCTAGCCCGTTAAAGCCTAGGAACGCTTTTATACATCCCCAATCCCGTAAAAATTTATTGCAATAATGTTTTTATTTCTTTCAATAAGGAGCATTCCCGTGGCGCTTTTGTTTCAGAAAGATTTGCATTCTCGAACACTGCATTTTTGTGCTCTATAATCGATGAGACAGTAGTATCATTCCACAGTATACGACTCAAGCACTACATATATATGCTTTTAACAAAAAGACCGACTTCGTCAAGATTTTAGCATGACAAAGCGCTAGTATGTTTTTGCTAAATGCATGGAGTATGCAGAAGGAGACGATTTTTATACGACGTGTGTATCATTTCATTTACTGCTGATATCATACTTGCATCAATCTTTATATTATACAGACTGTAATGATTTGAACTTACCCATTACATCACCACCGTCATAAATTCTTTCGTGACGACGTCATACGCAATCTGTATTGCGCTCTTCTTGACTACGCGTTTCAACTTATGTCCTTCCAAGCGCCTGCATGGATCCTAGCAACAGCACCAAGACACAGCTGGCAACACTCCAGCATCTTGATACTTCTTATTTTGGCGACTCATCCGTAGTCTTTGGCTGCAGTTCTCCGTACATGTTAACACATCTTACTGCACAAAATTTGAATTTTTTCTATATGGCGCTGCCTTTTTCGTGTATAGTCAATGATATTGGTAAGTTCACAGTGTTATAGCAATGATCCTAATAAATCTCATCACCATTAAAAAGTGTCATACAAGAATCATCATAATTGATAATTTTACCAATGCTTACCTGGCTTGGTGAGTATAGGTGAATTACCGTCGAAGGTAACATTCATCACTGCTTCACTGTCGTTATTGCTATCGGTCATAATATCAACCAAGAAAGCATCGTTTGCTACTCGACGCGTTCAATGGAGGTGAGCGGCTTTCATAATTAGTTATTATAGTAGG